TGTCACACGGAAAACATGCGTGACCGTCCAAACACAGGGGTTTAGGAATAGAATGATATAAACTAGAAAGGAAAAGGTTGGTGATATAGGATGAAGTGAGGGCGGCCCGGACAAGGCGTGTGGGAAAGGCCGTATGGCAAAAACCCAGCACCCTGTCAGTTGGCCCTGCGTCGATGGATGGATGGATGCCCTCCCCGACTCCGCTAAGTTCTTGAGCCGCTTGGCAGCTCGAGGCAGGCATGCACTCAGCCACCCGTCGCAACTGACGCTTGCGAGGGGCTGAGTCGTGTTGGAGGCTAGGATGAGGGCAGAAAGGCTAAGCCACCGGCTTCTGGGTGGGGGGCGACCTGGGCGACCGTCCCCGTCACAAAACAAAAATTGGTCGATTGGTGTAGTTGGTTATCACGTATCCTTAACACGGATAAGGTCGGCAGTTCGATCCTGTCATCGATCACATTTTCCTACTGCTGCTAGTGTTCTTTTGCTGTCTGTGGTTTGACGTGAGCATAGGGCAAGTGAGACAAGCGGGGCCGGGTGGTCTTATGCCCCGGTGAGTCCGGCGCGGTCGCCCTTCTGTGGGTGCGGTCCACGGTCCATGACGCCTCTCAGCGGCTGGGCTTGGGGCCCGCCACGGCGCTTGGGGGGTCCCTCCCGTTTGGTCTCTCGCAGCTGGAATCCGTTGGCTCGGCCGGTCGTGCGAAATGGGCGGAATGGCGGCGCCGGGTGGTATGGCGTGGCAAGCGGCGTGGCCGCTGGGCGCCGCGGCGTTCGCTGCTGCGGCTGCTGCTGGTGGCATGGGACGGACGGCCGGTCTCGAGCGCTCCATTTACGAGGCCAAGGGCCTGAGGCGGCCAGCACGTGGCGTCCGGACCGAGGGGCGACCGGCATGGCTTGGACCCGTCTACATGAACAGGAGGCGATGGGCAGGGTATGGTCTCACCTGCGGTGCTGCGGTCCTGCCGACTCGCCGCCGTCGTCGTCGCTATCCACGCCGTCGTCCCATACGGACCATCCCTGCTGTCGCCCCTACGGCCCGCACCCTGCACCTCCCGTCTGCGCCATTTCAGCACCGCGTGGGCGTTATGATGGTGACTCCCGAAATGACCCCTTCTCTTGTCGCCGCCGCCGCGGCCTCCCCGGCCGCACCGCCAGCACTCAATAGGTAAACGACTCGAGACGATGGCAAGGTCCGTTTCTCGCACCTCGGCGAAGGCGTGTTTCCATGGATACTCACGCACTGCCTATACGACGATGCGACGTGACTGGCATCCATGATCTGACGAGTATGATAGTGAGGCGGAAGCGATCAAGACCCGCGCCAATGCGTGCCATGCCCGCGGTGACTACCACCAGGCGGTGGACCTCTATACCGAGGCGATTGAGCTGGACCCATCACATCACATCTACTACTCCAACCGGGCGGCGGCGCGTATGATGCTGCGGCAGCACCACCTGGCCCTGGACGACTGCCGCGCGGCCATCCGCCTGGACCCGACCTTCATCAAGGCCTACCTCCGCGCGGCCAAGTGCCACGCCAGCCTGGGCCAAATGGCCTCCGCGGAGCGTGAGCTGACACAGGGCCTGGCCGCCATCGAGGCGTTGACGAGTGCCACGCACCTCACCCCGAAGGAGATCGCGGCCCGCGTCCAGCAGAAGCCGGCGCTCGCGGCCGAGCTCGGCGTGATCCGCGCCATCAACGCTGGTCTTGCGGAGGCCCACGCCGCGTATGATTCTGCCAGGTACCGTCGCTGCATCCAAGCCGTCGAGATGGCCATGATGAAGGTCGACCCGCAGCTGTCACCGCGCGCCGGCGGCGAAGGCAGCCAGATCGAGAGCGTGTACACGAGGCTCGACTCGACGCAGCTGAACGGCGTGCCGGTTAGCTGGCGGCTTCTGCGCGCGCGCTGCGTGTATGCACTGGGGGACTACCAGAACGCGCAGACGCTGGTGACATTTATCCTACAGTCGCAGCCGCGCCACGCCGACGCGATTTGCTTGCGTGCGGAGGTGATCACGACGCTGGCGTTGCACGATCCCGCGCAGGTGCAGGCCCTGCTGACGCAGGCGCTCGCTTACGATCCGGATGCCGCGGCGGCCAAGACGCTGCGCAAGGAGCTCCGCGAGCTCGAGGCCATCAAGCAGCAAGGCAACGCCGCGTTCGGCCAGCAGGACTGGGACACGGCCAGGACCGCCTACAACCAGTTCCTCGCCATCAACCGGTGGAAGGGCATTGGCCAGGCCAAGGTCCTCAGCAATCTGGCGCTTGTCGAGTCGAAGACGGGCAACTATACCCAGGCCTGTGACTTGGTAACGCGCGCTGTGGACACGGTCAACGCGACGCTGTTCCCGGCGACGCAGGCGGGTTCGGACGAGGCCGGCGCCGCGAGCGCCGAGCCGCCGCACATCGACGGTGATGCCATGGGCAACTCCTCGCAGGCCGCGTTCTACCAGAAGTTGCTGACGAACCGCGCGTCGTGGCGCATGCAGCTCAAGGAGTACGAGGAGGCGGTGCGCGACTACACAGTGCTGTGCCAGAACCTCGCGCCGAAGCAGCCCTCGCTCCGTCAGGCCCTCAAGACCGCCAAGGAGCTCCACCAGAAGGCCTCGCGCAAGGACTACTACGAGATCCTCGGCATTTCCGACCGCGGCTGCTCGCAGAACCAGCTCAAGAAGGCCTACCACAAGCTCGCGCTGCAGTACCACCCGGACAAGACGAGCCGACTGGACGATGCCGAGCGCGCCAAGGCCGAGGCCAAGTTCCGCGACATCCAGGAAGCGTGGTCAGTGCTCGGCGACGAGGACAAGCGCGCCCGGGTTGATGCCGGCATCCATGTCGATGGCGCCTCGGCCAGCGGCGACTCGGGCATGCACTCTCACCACCACGGCTTCGGTGGCGGCATGGGCGGCATGGGCAACCAGGAGGATATTCTTCGCATGTTCTTTGGCGGCGGCGGTATGGGCGGCGGCATGGGCGGCATGGGCGGCGGCGGCGGCGGCCGCGGCGGCCACCCGGGCTTCGGTTTCCAGTTCTGAAACGTCTTCTTGCAGCGTTTCTCCAGCAAAACGCTTCGTTCATTTTTATAGATCCCCCTTCACTGATTAGGGTGGACCTCATCAGAGGCGACGTGGTCGGTGGGTTCGCGGCCCGTTGTTTGACGTTTGCTGTGGCACAATGCCACCCACAGCAAGTTTGTGAACCGCGCCCTCAATGCCGCGTTGAACTTCCAACGCTGTCTGGCCTTACTCGACAGACCGATAGCGCTGTGTCGCAATCCGGCGCAAATCAAGTTGCAGCACAAGATCGGCAGGCCGACCCTGAGCCAATATCCGTACTGCCTCGGTGGGGGGACTCCTGGGGGGCACCACGGAGAGCATGGTGTGTGCGTAAGGTGCCAGGACGGGCCTATATATACGGGTTGGGCCTATATATACGTCCGGCCTATATATAAACGAATGGTGATGAGACATGAACATACAAAGAAGCAAAAAAAAGAAAGCAGAGACCGATGCTGGTCTCCCCCCCACGACCATCGCGTGACCGTGGCGGATCACGAACAGGCGTCGGGGTCTATCGCTCATCGGCTTCTTCCAAGTAGCGGTACTCGAAGCAGAACCCGTCCTTCTTGCGCTGGCACCAGGCGGCTTCGTAATCGAAGTAGATGTAGGTGCCTTGCTCCTGCTCCTCCGTGATCGAGGTCGGCTCGTCGTGGCGCTGGAACCAGGTCAAGTACTTCTTGTGGAAGCGCCACGACTGGCGCTTCAGCTCGCGTGCGGCCAACGACTGCGCGAGCGTGCCCTGCTGGTAGTAGAACATAAAGAAGAGCGTGTCGGTGCCCAGTTTCTCGAGCAGGGCGTTGCGCGCCGCGAGCGCCGCTGCGTGCGCCGCGGGCGAGCCGCCCGCCGACGGCACCGTCGGCTCCAGGAAGGGCAGCGGCTGCTGCGGGTAGTAGCTCGGCACCGGGAATGGCCGCTCGGCCAGGTAAGCGCTGCTGTTGGCGTGCGAGGTGCGCGTCGACGTTGCCGTCGCATCCAGCGCGTTCGGCAGGAAGCGGTAGCTTGTCTCGAGCATCGCGTGCGCTGTCGGGACCGGCTCTTCGCCCGGGGCCGCTGCGCCGGGTGCACCCGGCAGCGCAGGCGTGCCGGCCAGCCCGGCGCCCAGCGACCCCAGCCCGTCGGCGAGCGCGCTACGCTGCTTGGTCGTCTCGAAGCTCGCCACGAGGTCAGCGAAGGCGGCCACGGCAGGCACCGGCGTCGTGGCGGCGGCAGCAGCGGCAGCAGCAGCAGCATCAGCGGCGGCGGCGGCGGCGGCGGCGGCGGTCCCCGCGGTCGCGGATGTCGGGGTCTGGGCCGTGGCGGACGTCGGGGCCGCGTCGTGCGTTTCGATGGGGGTTGCGCGAGCCGCCGGGGCGGCGGGCGTGGCGGGCGTGACGACGGACGCGGGCGCCGGGGTGGCAGGCGCGGTGGCCGAGGCGGCCGAGGGCGGGGCGGGAGCGGTGGTGGCGGTCGACGGCGCGGCCGCGGCCGGCGGGACGGCGGCCGACGTCGTGATCGCGGCCGAGGCGGGCCGCGACGTCGGGATGTCTTTGGAGACGATGCTCGCGTAGCGGATCTCGGGTTGCTTGAAGGTATCGATGGGCGTCGGGGCCGATTTGGACGACGCCGAAGCGTCATTGACGGAGGACTGGGCGGCGGCGGCGGCGGCCGCGGCGGCGGCGGCGGCGCGCTTGGAGAGTTTGGTGCTCGCCGCGGCGGCGGTGGCAGCGGCGGTGGCGGTGGCGGTGGCGGCAGCGGCGGTAGCAGCGGCGGCGGTGGCGGCGGGCAGGTCGTCGTTGCCGAGATTGGCGGTGGGCTCGCGGGAGCGGCTGGGGGTGGCACTGCCGCTGCGGGTGCTGGCGCCGCGGGCGGGCGAGGCAACGCCCGAGGTGAGGGCGGAGTCGTCGCCGCCCGCGTCAGCGCCTCGGCTCTTCTTGTTGGCGCGGGCGTGCTTTTCGGAGGGCGTGTCATCGTCCTTGCTGGGCGTGGCGGAGCCGGACTTGTCGTGGTGCGCGTCGTCGTCGTCGCCGGGCAGCCCAAAGATCTCGGCGTCATCGAGGTCGAGCCCGTCGTAGATGCCATCGTCCTCGAGGAAGTCTTCGGACTCGTTCTCCTCGACGTAGTAGATGATGTCGTCCTGGATGGCCTTGACGGCCTCGATGTCGAGCGCGCCGTTGTCGACCATGCGCAGGATCATCTCGAGCTTCGCCATGTGCCAGCGATGCCGCTCGATGTGGTGCTCGATTTCCTTCATGCGCTCATGCTTCGCGGTGTCGGCCTTCTTGCTCTTCTTGCCGCTCAAGGCCAGCGTCTCCTGCTCGGCTTCCCAGGTGTCGATCTGGGTCGAGAGCCGGTCCACCGTGTCCGAGATCCACATCCGGAACTCCAGCCGCTCTTTCTCGGCGGGGTCCAGCTTCGCGG